ATTGTAAAATGTGGAATGACAATAAAAGTAACAAGACTGATTTTCTTATGTAGCTTTCAATGACACCGAAAGCATCAGTGGGGCTGGGCGCAATGGTTCATGCCTGTAATCCCAGCACTGTGGGAGGCCAAGGTGGGCAGATCACTTGAGGTCAGTTCGAGATGAGCTTGGCCAACATGGTGAAACTCTATCTCTATTAAAAATACAAAACTTAGCTGGCATGGTGACTTGAGCCTATAATCCCAGCTACTTGGGAGGCTGAAGCATGAGAACTGCTTGAACCTGGGAAACACAGGCAGCAGTGAGCTGAGATCATGTCACTGCCCTCCAGCCTAGGTGACAAAGCGAAATTCTGTCTCAAAAGCAAGCATCAATGGTAAACCACGAGATATATATATTTATACATATTTACATACAGCTTCTAAATGAATGTGGTTACTTCAAAGGACATAACTTCTCCTGGTACCCTGCTTACCAGTTTGACCATATGCAAAAAATGTTTATGGCATAATGTTAAGTGAAAATTTCAATATTTTAGCTGGGCATGGTGGAACACGCCTGTTGTCCTAACTGCTCTGGAGGCTGAGGCAGGAGGATCACTTGAGCCCAGGCAGTAAAGGATGCATCGAGCTATAATCGTGCCACTGTACTCTAGCCTGGGTGACAGAACAAGACTGTCTTTAAAAAAAAAAAATCTCAGAAATTGTATATACCATCATTTACAATGTAAACATAAGTATACAAACAATAAGTGGAAGTTAATATGTAAAATAAATATTGCTGTTGTGAGAGGAAGGATTAGTTTTTTCCCTTTTATCAAAATTATTTCAGCCAAGCACAGTCGTCCTCACCTGTAATCCCAGGACTTTGGGAGGCCAAGGTGGGTAGAGTGCTTGAGCCCAGGAGTTTGAGACCAGCGTGGGCAACAAAGTGAGACCCAGTCTCTACAAAAAATACAAAAAGTTACCCTAGAGGCTGAGGTGGGAGGATCACCCAAGTCCAAGAGGAGGAGGCTGCAGTGAGCCGTGATCACACCACTGCACGCCAGTCTGGGTGACAGTTAAGACCCTGTCTGTCTAAAGAAAAAAAAGTATGATATTCTTTTTAATAATCTCTTTTTTAAAATCAGCCATTACTAAACCAGGCACAGTGATGTGCACCTGTAGCCCCAGCTACTGGGAAGGCTGAGGCAGTGGATGGCTGAGCCCAGAAGTTGGAGAACAGCCTGGGCAACAAAGAGAGACCTACATCTCTTAAAAAAAATTTTAAAAAGAAAAAAAAAAAAAAAACAGTCATTATTTCATACTCACTGAATCAGAGAGATATGTCCTATTCAGTAAAAAATGACTGTTCTAAAATCTTTCCATTTTCCCTTCTATTTCTAAATGCCAAAAAAAAAGGGTAAGACATTTATTTTTATTTTTTTTCTTATTTTTGCTCCTGCCTGAGGAGTAAGGACTCACATTTTTGATGATCCATTTGTTTTTACAAGAATGTTGAGCTTCCAAGCAAAGCCTTTTTGAAATCAGAGCATAAGCTATTAACATCACTATAATTCATCCAGCAATGAATAAATATCAAATACCTTTTAATCATAAACACTATGATTTAAACATATGTGGAGAGAACCTCAAAAATTTCTTTTTAGGACGTGCAAAAAAGCAAAAAGAAATCATCTGTTTCTAACGGTTAATCACTACCTTATAAAAAGAATCCCCAAAATTATCAATAGAAATTCACAATATTTCAAGAATAACTAAGGTATTTTCCCTTCTGCAGATTTTCAAATACCATTGTCTACCGATTGAGGGACTACAACTTGATCCAGCAATCAAGCTGTGTAGACTAACAGAAACCGAATTAAAGCAATTAAGTGAGTCAAATCTCATCACATTTTGGTTTTTGTGTATACCTAATAAAAATGTTGCAACAGAAGAAGTAAAGTGGGGTTAAACCAATCAGAGTTTCTGCTAAGAGTCGTAATTAGCCCAAGAAACTGAAAGACTGAGTTTCGCTCTTGTTATCCAGGCTGGAGTGCAGTGGTGCAATCTCAGCTCACCGAAACCTCTGCTTCCCTGGTTCAAGCATTTCTCCTGCCTCAGCCCCCGCCCCCCACATGTAGCTGGAATTACATGCATAAGACAACACGCTGAGCTAATTTTGTATTTTTAGCAGAGACGGAGTTTCTCCATGTTGGTCAGGCTGGTCTCAAACTCCTGACCTCAGGTGATCCGCCCCACTCAGCCTCCCAAAGTGCTGGGATTACAGGCATGAGCCACCATGCCTGGCCAAGAAACTGAAAATTAATTAAGTGGCTTTTAGGGTCGGGTGTGGTGGTTCACACCTGTAATCCTACCACTTTGGGAGGCTGAGGTGAGTGGATCATTTGAGGTCAGGAATTCGCGACCAGCCAGGCCAACATGATGAAACCCTGCCTCTACTAAAAAATACAAAAATTACTTGGGTCTGGTGGCACACGCCTGTGGTTCCAGCTACCCAGGAGGCTAATAAGACAGGAGAATTGCTTGAACTCGGGAGGTGGAGGTTGCAGTGAGCCAAGATCATGCCACTGTGCTCCCGCCCGGTGACAGAGCGAGACTCTGTTTCAAACTAACAACAACGACAACAAAAAGAAGTGGCTTTTTTCTCTTTCTTTTTTTTGTGGGGGGTGAGGGGAAAGATGGTCTTGCTCTCTTGCCAGGGATGGAGTGCAGTGGCCTCACTGCAGCCTTGAACTCCTAAGCTCAAGCAATCCTCCCACCTCAGCCTCCCCAGCAGCTGAAACTACAGGTCAGTGCCACTACATCCAGCTCTTTCTTTTTTGAAAGATGGGGTTTCACCATGATGGCCAGGCTGATTTTGAACTCCTGACCTCAGGTGATTCACCCACCTCAGCCTCCCAAAGTGCTAGGATTAGAGGCGCGAGCCACCGCAACCAGTTCTTCAGCTCTTTTTTTTCTGTAGAGATGGGGTCTATGTTTTGCCCAGGCTGGTCTCCAACTCCAGGCCTCAAGTGAATTTCCAGGCTCTGTCTCCCCAAAGTACTGGGATTACAGGCATGAGGCACCGCGCCAGGCCCAAGTGGCATCATAAACCATCTCTAGGAAATCTAGAGAAAGTACTAATAATGATATTGACTTCTCTGATTCACTGCAAAGATTTTTCTATATAAGCATAATGCAGCAACACTAACTTATATACACAATAATCTCCATAGCAATGATTTGTTAGAGATTAGGAAATCTTTTATATATTTGATATAATCATCCAATCCTGGCCAGGCACGGTGGCTCACGCCTGTAATCCCAGCACTTTGGGAGGCCGAGGCGGGTGGATCATGAGGTCAGGAGTTCAAGACCAGTCTGGCCAATATGGTGAAATAAAATATACATAAAAATACAAAAAAGTAGCTGGGAGTAGTGATGTGCGCCTGTAGTCCCAGCTGCTCGGGAGGCTGAGGCAGGAGAACTGCTTGAACCCGGGAGGCGGAGGTTTCAGTGAGACGAGATCGTACCACTGTACTCCAGCCTGGGTGACAGAGCAAGACTCTGTCTCAATAAATAAATAAATAAATAATCCAATTCTTTATATCTTCAATATGATAACCCAATCACAAAGTTTAAAAATATTATGACTCCTCACTCCAGTTTTATTACAAATTTTACTTCACTAACTTTGACCTGATGTTCCATGCCCACAAGCTAGATAACAACGTGTCAAACATCTCGTTATCATTGCAAAGCAAAAAATAAAACCAGCTTTAATAATAAAACGGCAACTAGTATACAACCTGTGGTAGTTAAAACGATGTAAAATTTTACTTAACCAGATCTTACGTTAAATTCTAAGAACAGTAACGGTGGAAACAAATTCCGCATATAACAAATCACAAAATATAGATCTGCCGAGAGAGAGAACTAACATTCTGACCTCCTTCCAAAATGACAAACCAGAACGGCGAAATTACAGTCAGGCACATGGAGTACTCTTCTCTCAAATCACTCCACAGAGAACTTCATCATTTGCTCCGCCCTCTAATAACTCATGCAAGAAAAGTTCAGCACCCTCAGAGAGAAACAAGACGGCGAATTCACAGAATGGCTTAGGGCCTTTCCTGCCGGCGGTAAGACGATCTGCGTGTGCCCTTCGCAGGGGTCCAAAGGGAGAGAACCACCTAGGCCTAGGGTTTCGGGGATACTGACACCCAGAAACAGATTTCGTCTCACAAAGTTTCTGCCGCCATCCCCGTCTTATCGGCAGGAGGCCCCGGCGCCATCGTCTCCGCCTTTATGATTTTATTATGGGGAGGTGGGAAACGCCACCCAGGATTCCTCCAGGCCTCCCCTGTTCAGCCTGGGGGTTCCCCCTCATTCTTCCCTCAAAGCCTCAGTCCCTCAGGTCCTCCCCAGCACCCCCAGCTTCTGGCGGCCCGTCCCCGGGAAGGGCACAGGCACTGCCGAACCCCCCGGCCTCGCGGTGAAGGCGGGAGGGCCCGAACCCGCCAGGGCCATGGCGACGGCTCCGAGGGGCCCAGAAAGGGGAAGGGCAGGCCGGGGACCGGGGCAGAACGACCTGGCCGGGAAGAAAGGGAAAGGGGTGAGGGGGTGCGCCGCACCCCCGGGCTGCACAGCGACGGAGGGATGGCGCGGGGAGGAGGAGGGCGGTGGCCCGGGTGCGGCCCCCCACTCCCCCCGCCCGGGTCCCCGGGCCGGCGCGGGCGGACGGGCTCGGTCCATCCCCAGGTCTGGGCGGGGGGGGCTGGGGGGATCTCCCTCCACACCGCTCGGAGACCCAGATCTGGGGTGTCGGGGGGCGGGGGGCTGTCTCCCGCCGGAGCCCGGAGACCCCCCAGCGCCGTCGTCGCCTCTTCCTCAGGAGGGAGGACGGCAGCTGCGGGGAAAGCCCGAAGGCGGAATGCGCGAAGGGAAGGGGGAGCCCGGGGCAGCCCCGCCGCCCGCTGCGGACCCCACTCCCCACCTTCCGGTAACCGCGTCTCTTACCGGTGATGGCGGTGAACTGCTGAATTAACCCCTTCAGCGCCGAGGACGCCGCGGAGCCCCCGTGGGCAGCCATCTTACCGCCGCCGCCGCCGCCGCCGAACAACAACACAGACACACACGGACCGCCCTCCCCCACTCCGCCGCGCGCCGCGCGCAGGCGCACTGAGCGCCCGAGCCCCGCCCCCGCGGGCCGCGCAGGCGCGCTGAGCGCCCGAGCCCCGCCCCCGCGGGCCGCGCAGGCGCACTTTCCCTCCGGGCCGGCGGGCCGCGCGCTCTCGGGTTAGCTGCCTGGTGGCCGCTGCTCCCCGCGTCCCTCTGCCGCTGCCGGCGCCTCATCTCCGGGCTCCAGGGCCAGCCTGGCAGGCGCGGGGTTTCGGCCTCGCAGGCCTCCCAGACGGAGCGGAGGGCGGTGACAGCACGCCGCGCGGTGTCAGGTTTCTGCGGGTCCCGGCGGACACAGACCCGGCGTCCCCGCCGCGAAGCAACTCCCGAGCCCGCTCGCTCCCCAGCCTCTCGATAGCGGCTCCGCCAACCGGCCGTGGCGAATGCAGCGCCCGAAGTGAAGTTCCAGGGCCCTTCGCGCCATGGAGCGGAGCCGGACACCGGTAGGTTTTCACGGCGGCTTAGCTGCTTTCCGTCAGTAAACCGGCCGGTGCGTCTCCCCTCGGGGTCCCGGTCGGACCCGAGGCGTGTCATTTGTATCGGATGTGTGTGCAGCAGAGGAAAGAAAACAGAGAAAGGACACTGGGACGTGTCCTCAGGACGCCAGAGACGAGAACGATCGGGGACTTTCCGTAGAGTTTCTTATTTCTCTTTTTATTTTATTTTATTTATTTATTTATTTATTTATTTTTGAGCCGGAGTTTCGCTCTTGTTACCCAGGCTGGAGTGCAACGGCGCGATCTCGGCTCACCGCAACCTCCGCCTCCTGGGTTCAGGCAATTCTCCTGCCTCAGCCTCCTGAGTAGCTGGGACTACAGGCACGCGCCACCATGCCCAGCTAATTTTTGTATTTTTAGTAGAGAAGGGGTTTCACCATGTTGACCAGGATGGTCTCGATATCTTGACCTCGTGATCCACCCGCCTCGGCCTCCCAAAGTGCTGGGATTACAGGCTTGAGCCACCGCACCCGGCCTCTCTTTTTATTTTTAAACAGGCATTACTGGCCTTGCGCGGTGACTCGTAACTGTAATCCCAGCACTTTGGGAGGCCGAGGTGGTAGGATCCCTTGAGGCCAGCAGTTTGAGACCAGATTGGGAAATATATCAAGATTCCACTAAAAAAAAGAAAAAAAGAAAATATATTAGTGTCTTACTTGAATAATTTTAACTATTCTGTAAAACAATTACTTGAGTGGGGTGAACTAAAATCGAATGTGCTCCCACCTTGCCAGCAAAGTTACAAGAGATTCCGTGTGATTCTGTTTCTTCTCGCCTCCCACCTTCTGACTTCCACCCAAGTATTTTGCATCTTCGTAGGAAAATGGTCCAATAAGAGATGGGAGGAGTTATCTGTAGAACTGATACATCCTGAGTAAATATGCTATTTGGGAGAATTAAGAAATAGCCATATGAAATCAAGGGCATCTCACTGTCACCCAGGCTGGAGTGCAATGGTGTGATCCCAGCTCACCGCAACCTCCACTGCCTGCTGGGTTCAGGCGACTCTCCTGTCTCAGCCTCCCGAATAGCAGGGATTATAGGCATGTGCCACCAAGCCCAGCTAAGTTTTACATTCTTAGAAGAGACAGCGTTTCACCATGTTGGCTAGGCTGGTCTTGAACTCCTAACTTCAAGTGATCCACCTCCCTTAGCCTCCAAAGTGCTGGGATTACAAGCGTGAGCCACCAGGCCCAGTCGGGCTATATTTTCAAGAAGATGTGATTGATGAAAAAGAAAGCTGCCAGGCGTGGTGGCTCAAGCCTGTAATCCCAGCACTTTGGGAGGCCGAGGCGGGTGGATCACGAGGTCGAGAGATCGAGACCATCCTGGTCAACATGGTGAAACCCCGTCTCTACTAAAAATACAAAAATTAGCTGGGCATGGTGGCGCGTGCCTGTAATCCCAGCTACTCAGGAGGCTGAGGCAGGAGAATTGCCTGAGCCCAGGAGGCGGAGGTTGCGGTGAGCCGAGATCATGCCATTGCACTCCAGCCTGGGTAACAAGAGCGAAACTCCGTCTCAAAAAAAAAAAAAAAAAAAAAAGAAAGCTGACTCTTAGGGAGTGCTGGGATTACAGGCCTGAGCCACTGCACCCACTCCATAGTCTTATAATCCAGATTTAATGATGTGATTTTAGATTAACAGTGCAGGAAAAGATGATAAAGGCTGTAGCATCCACAATTCCAGAAGGCATTTTTTAGGAATTAAAAAATAAGGCCCAGCTCTGTGCTCACGCCTGTAATCCCAGCACTTTGGGCCAAGGCCAGTGGATCACGATGTCAGGAGTTCCAGACCAGCCTGGCCAAGATGGTGAAACCCTGTCTCTACTAAAAGTACAAAAATTAGTTGGGTGCAGTGACGGGTGCCTGTAATCCCAGCTACTTGGGAGGCTGAGGCAGGAGAATCACTTGAACCCAGGAGGCAGAGGTTGCAGTGAGCCAAGACTACGCTGCCACACTCTACGTTTGCCTGGGCAACAGAGCAAGACTCCATCTCAAAAAAGGAAAGAAAGAAATTGAAAAAATAAGATAAAATGACACAAGTGACCAAAAAGATTTCATGGTGGGAGGGAGGAAGTAAGGGAAGAAAATGAGAGAGTTTCCATGGATAACCAGGGCATTGGAAAAAATAAATAAATAATTAATGAATAATACAAACTTGAAAAACTTTTTGGATTATTAAAGAATAAGGGCCGGGCGCGGTGGCTCAAGCCAGCACTTTGGGAGGCCGAGGCGGGTGGATCACGAGGTCAAGAGATCGAGACCGGCCGGGCGCGGTGGCTCAAGCCTGTAATCCCAGCACTTTGGGAGGCCGAGGTGGGCGGATCACAAGGTCAAGAGATGGAGACCATCCTGGTCAACATGGTGAAACCCCGTCTCTACTAAAAAATACAAAAAACTAGCTGGGCATGGTGGCGCGTGCCTGTAATCCCAGCTACTCAGGAGGCTGAGGCAGGAGAATTGCCTGAGCCCAGGAGGCGGAGGTTGCGGTGAGCCGAGATCGCGCCATTGCACTCCAGCCTGGGTAACAAGAGCGAAACTCCGACTCACAAAAAAAGAAAAAAAAAAAAAAAAAAGAGATCGAGACCATCCTGGTCAACATGGTGAAACCCCGTCTCTACTAAAAATACAAAAAAAAATTAGCTGGGCATGGTGGCACGTGCCTGTAATCCCAGCTATTCAGGAGGCTGAGGCAGGAGAATTGCCTGAACCCAGGAGGCGGAGGTTGCGGTGAGCCGAGATCGCGCCATTGCACTCCAGCCTGGGTAACAAGAGTGAAACTCCGTCTCAAAAAAAAAAAAAAAAAAAAAAGAATATGAAGGACTGACCAGGCACGGTGGCTCACACCTGTAATCCCAGCACTTTGGAAGGCTGAGGTCTGGGGGATCACCTGAGGTTAGGAGCTCCAAACCAGCCTACATGGCCAACATGTTAAAATCCCATCTCTACTAAAAATACAAAATTAGCCAGGCACGGTGGCTCACACCTGTAATCCCAGCACTTTGGGAGGCTGGGAAGGGCTGATCACGAGGGCAAGAGATCAAGACCATACTGGCCAACATGGTGAAACCCCATCTCTACTAAAAATACAATAATTAGCTGGGCATGGTCGTGCACACCTGTAGTGCCAGCTACTCAGGAGGCTGAGGCAGGAGAATCACTTGAATCCGGGAGGTGGAGGTTGCAGTGAGCCAAGATCACACCACTGCACTCCAGCCTGGTGCCTGGCGACAGAGTGAGACTTTGTCTCAAAAAAAAATACAAAAAATACAAATTAGGTGGGCATGATGGTGTGTGCCTGTAATCTCAGCTACTCAAGAGGCTGAAGGAAGAAAATTGTATGAGCCCAGGAGGTAAAGGTTGCAGTGAGCCGAGATCATGCTACTGCACTCTAGCCTGGGCAACAGAGCAAGACTCTGTCTAAAAAAAAACGAAAAACAATATGAATATGAAGGACCGGTGCTGTGGCTCACGCTTGTAATCCCAGCACTTTGGGAGGCCAAGGCAGGAGAATTTCTTGAGCCCAGGAGTCTAAGACCAGCCTAGGCAACATAAAGAGATCCTGTCTCTGCAGAAAAAAAAAAAAATAGCCAAACGTGGTAGTGCAACATGGAGAAACCCCATGTCTACTAAAAATATAAAATTAGCCAAGCGTGATGGTACATACCTGTAATTCCAGCTACTCAGAAGGCTGAGGCAGGAGAATCACTTGAACCCAGGAGGCAGAGGTTGCGGTGAGCCGAGATCACGCCCTTGCACTCCAGCCTGGGTGGCAGAGCAAGACTCCATCTCAAAAAAAAAAAAGGAGTGACCTTCTGTCAAGGGACATAAGCAGCTTGAGGCAATCTCAGAAAGGAGCCCAGGGAAATAAATACCCTAACCTCCATCTCCTCTTCCGTCTTCTGCCAGGAATCCTCACTGGTCAAACCCAAATGGAAGACAGAGGGCAGAGCAAGCAGCCCCTTGAAGTAGCTCCCACAGGCAGCCACAGGGGCAGGCAGCAGGATGGAAAACAGGAAGTTCATGGGCACAAATTTAAAACAGAATGATCATAAAAATACATTTCAAAACTTGTGGAGCCTTTCGGTTTGAGTCTTTTTGTTTTGCTTTGTTTTTTTGAGACAGAGTCTCTGTCCTCCAGACTGGAGGGCAGTGGTGAGAGCCTGGCTCACTCCAGCCTCTGCCCCTCGATTCAAGCGATTCTCCTGCCTGAACCTCCCAAGTAGCTGGGAGTACAAGTACATGTCACTGTCACCATGCCCAGCTAAGTTTTGTATTTTTAGAGGAGACAGGGTTTCACCATGTTGACCAGGCTGGTCTCGAACTCCTGACATCAGATGATCCGCCTGTAATCCCAGCTAGTTGGGATTCAGCCTCCCAAAGTGCTGGGATTACGGGGTGAGCCATGGAGCCTGGCCCAAAACTTGTGAAGTTTTAACAGAAGCTAAAGGAAAATATATAACCTTAGCTGATTAGGTTAGAGAAGA